GCTGTCTCTCTCTCTCTCTCTCAAAAATTAAACATAAAAAAAAAAAAATAGAAATTGTGAAAGTGGGCATCCTTGTCTTAAGAGGAGTCTTTCACTACTGAGTATGTTAGCTGTGGGTTTTCATTATGTTGAGGTAGTTTCCTTCTATTCCTAGTTTATTAGGTGTTTTTGAAAGGGTGTTGCATTTTATCGAATGCTTTGTCTTCATCAGTTGAAATGACCATGTGAGTTTTCCCCCTTCTTTTAAAGAGGTGTATTATATTAATTTTTGTATACTGAACTATACTTGCCTTCCAGGAATAAATCCTACTTGTTGTGGTGTATAATCCTTTTGATATGCTGCTGAATGCAGTAGCTAGTATTTTGGGTTTTTTGAAAAAATTTTAATTAAATGTTTCTTTATTTTTGAGAGAGACTGTATGGGGACACAGGGGAGGGGCAGAGAGAGAGGATGAGGATCCAAAGCAGGCTCTATACTGTCAGCACAAAGCCCAACTTAGGGCTCGAAGTCACAAACCATGAGATCATGACCTGAATCAAAGTTGAATGCTTAATCGACTGAGCCACTCAGGTGCGCCTTGCTAGTATTTTGTTAAGAATATTTGCATCAATGTGGGGTGCCTGGGTGGCTTAGTCGGTTAAGCGTCCCACTTTCGCTTAGGTCATGATCTCGCGGTTCGTGGGTTCGGGCCCCGCGTCGGGCTCTGTGCTGACTGCCAGCTCAGAGCCTGGAGCCTGTTTCAGTCTGTGACTCCCTCTCTCTCTGACCCTCCCCTGCTCGCGCTGTCTCTCTCTCTCTCTCTCTCCTAGAAATAAAAACATTAAAAAAAAGAACTTTAAAAAAAAAAAAGAATATTTGCATCAATGTGCATAAGGGATATGGATCTGTAGTTTTCTTTTCCTATAGTTTCTTTGCTATCTTTGATATCAGCATGACAATAAGAAGGAAGAAGGAAGTGTAGAAAGTGTTAGGAAGTATTTCTTCCTCTCCAATTTCTTGGACAAGATTGAGAAAGATTTAAATCTTTAAATGTTTGGTAGAATTCACCAGTGAAGTCATCAGATCCAGGGCCTTGATTGTCAGGTTTTTGATTACTGATTTAATCTTCTTGCTAATTATAGGTCTCTTCAGAGTTTTCTATTTCTTTGTCATTTAGTGTTTTTGTAGATTTTGAGTTTCTAGGAATTTGTTCACTTCATCTAGGTTACTTAATTTGTTGGCATAGAATTGTTCATAGTAATCTCTTATAATCCTTTTTATTTCTGCAGAATTAGTAGCGATCAGTCCTCAGTTTCATTTCTGATCTTAGTAATTGTAGTCCTTCCTTTTTTTATTAATCCATGTAGCTGAAATCCAAAATGTCGATTTTGCTGATCTTTTCAAAGAACCAGTTTTTGGTTTTGTTAATTTTCTCTATTGTTTTCTACTTTCTGTTTCATTTACCTCTGCTCTACCCTTTATTAGTTTTTCCTTCTGCAGTTTTGAGTTTATTCTAATTCTTAAGTTGTAAAGTTAGTTAATTTGAAGTCTCTCTTGTCTTTTTAAAAAAATTTTTAACATTTATTTTTTGAGAGACAGAGCGTGAGTGGGGGAGGGGCAGAGAGGGAGTCACAGAATCTCAGAGCTCCAGGCTCTGAGTTGTCAGTACAGAGCCTGACATGGGGCTTGAACCCACGAACTGTGAAATCATGACCTGAGCCAGAGTTGAATGCTTAACCAACTGAGCCACCCAGGTGCCCCTTGTTTTTTTAACGTAAGCATTTTTTGCTATAAATTTTCCTCGTAGCACTGTTTTTCTGTTTCCCAAAGGTTTTGGTCTGTTATGTTTTCATTTTCATTCAGGTTTAAGTATTTTCTAATTTCCTTTATAATTTCTAATTTGATCCATTGGTTACTTAAGAGTGTTCCACAAAATTTTTAAGTTTTCAGTTTTATGTTATTGATTTCTAACATTATCCCATTGTGGTCAGAGAAGATACTCCGTATAACACATATCTTTTAAAATCGACTGAGACTTACCTTGTAGCCTAACATACGGTCTATCCTGGAAAATGTCCCAAGTGCACTTGAGAAGAATGTGTGTGCTGTTTTTGTTGAGTACAGTGTTCTGGATATGTCTATTAGGTCTGGTTGGTTAATTGTGTTAATTCCTCTGTTTCTTCACTTCTGTCTGGTTGTCCTATCCATTATCAAGAATGGGATTTGTAGTCTCCAACTGTTAATTGCTTCTCCCCCCAATTCTGTCAGTTTGCTTCAAATCCCCGGGAAGTTGCTTCTGCTGGAGGGGAAAAGGCTTGCAACGATGGGGGAGGGGGGTTGCGGTGAAACAACAGGTGCTTGTCTCTTCATCTACACCCATATAATTAAAGCAGCAATCAGCGACCCCAAATATATTTGGACAGAGTCCATTTCTGCCTAGCCTGGCTCCCATAAGCTGGTGCAAGTGACTCCAGGACCCAGTGCACAGCTGCCTGCCACGTGGCTGAGGAGTGAGGGATGGGTCGCTTCTACGGTGCTAAGAGCTAAACCTGACCAAAATTCACTGCAATATATCATCCAAGCCTTCCTCTAGAGGTTGCAAGCCTTCAATAGACTCCAGAATTCCAGAACAGTTACACCAAACAGATTCTGCCACTGCAATTATTGTCTGGGTGAGGAGACAGACTCCTGGTGCTTCCTCCCTTCTCTGCCATCTCCATAAATCCTCTCTCCAAGTTCTTTTTTTCTTTCTTTCTTTCTTCTTACACAATAAAGCATTATGAAATACATTAGTAATTGTTAGGGCTATGGCTGCCTTGTAATTTTTCTCGCTTATCTTGCAATATTATCTTCCGTTATAAGTCTTAGAATCAAATGTCTAGTTTCAAAAGGAATCTTATTGATACTTTTATTGGGAAATTTACATCTTAATTTAGGAAGAATATTGTCAATGATTTAAAAACCGTAACTAAAATTCTCAGTTTTCATAAATGCTATTAAATTAATAAAGCTTATTATAAAAGTTAAATAAACACATAAGTATGCAGACTAAAAATCTAGAAGGCCCTCTTAAAATATCTCCTTATCACCTCCTCGTTTACCGAAGTAACTACTGTGAACAGTATCCTCTGATACTTAGCCATACATTTACAAACTTTCCTGTACCCCCATATGCAGGTTTTTATTAATTTTCTTTTATATTCATTGTGATTAGAGGTAAAGGAACAATAATATATACATATCAACTTTTGGCAATCCTCTGTAGATGCACATTCAGATTGTTTCCTTTTTTTTCTTCTACTGACAAAGTTGTAATCAAAAACCTCATATCTATTTCCACATTTGTGTATTTCAGAATCATTTCTAGAAGGAATTGCCAGCTAAAAGGAAATGAATGCATATTTTAAATTCTGAGCGATACTACCAAGTTATCTTCAAAAAGAGCATCAATGATATTCCCATCAACAATATAGGAAGGGGCCTTTTCACACCTTCTTAAGTAATAAATATATGTCTTTTTAACTTTTTTCCAGTTTGTAAATCTGAGATAACTAACTCACAGCATTTTTGTAAGGATCATGTATAGGGAAGGAACTCACATTGCCTAGATTATCGTCAGAATTCCATGTATACAATTTTACCAACGAATCTGCAGTTAAATATGTGTAAGGGCTATAAAATGTCAGGCAATCTTCATGTACAGAATTTACCATCAGACTTCATTGAGATCTTAAAGAAATAAATCCAAAGGACAACTTTTCCAACCTGTAACGTCGGAATGGATGGATCGGCTGTAATGATGTTTGGGTATTAAGTTCTGAAGAAGTGGGGTGTTCCAATCTAGAGTCTCTCCCTAACCCCACCCCAAAAAGAACCCAGCGGCGATCCCTAGCCTGCCTTGGTCTCCGGATCCACGCAGAGCTCCCGGACAGCTCCCGCCGGAACGCCCCTGACGGGCTCGCTGGTCTCCTCTTCACCCGAGAAGGAAGGCTTCCTTCCAGCCCAGGCCCCGGTGCCCCCGGGAGGCTGCTCGGTTCTCCATCCGAGGGTGCACCTGGGAGCTCGGGAGCCGCTCCGGGGCCTGCCGTTTTCTGACAGCGTCCCACCGACGCCCGCGAGCCTGCCACGTGGGTTCTGGCGCCCGGAGGCTGCTGCGACCTAGAGCACTGAGTGCGGAGCGAAGGGCGAATGGGGGCCGGTACCCTTGCCAGACTCCTCGGGCGCCCGCGCTAGAAGACGCCGCCGCGGGGACTGGTCGTGGGCCGCACCTCACCTAACTGCTGTCGGACGGACAGTATTTTTGATATGCAGAGTATCAGTCTGGATTTGGCTTCATTCAACCTACACAGCCTCTTGGAATGATATTTTATTTTTCCCAAAGTCTACGAGGTGGGAACTCCACCTCTGGCCGGCTGCGTGCGCGTGGGCTCCGCGAAGGGCACTCACTTCGGAGAGGGATCCGGGGTCACGGAAAAGCGGGCCGCCGCGAGAGCGGGGAAATCCTTAGTGTCCAGCCAGTGGTGGGAAACCGTACCCGGCGGGCTCGCCCCGGAGCTCGCGCAGACCTCAGGCAGCCGCGACTGTGATTGGCACAATTAGGCGGAAAACCCGCTTACCTGCACCACAGCGGCTCTCGATTGGCTGCAGCTCCAAGTCTCTTTTCTACAGTCCAAACCTAGAGCCTCTTAGTGATAAATCCCGCCTTAAAAGGCGTTTGATAACAGTTTTACGTGTTGTAAGGCAAATGGTGATTGGCCACAGCGCTCACGGATTCGGTCGGTAGTAAACACAGCGAGCTCCTGGGGCCGCCGATTGGTCGATGTTCCGGGGGGCCGAGTAAATTCCTTCGAATTCCGCGCGCCGACTGGCTGCTCTTCTGCCCCGGCCCCGCCCCCTCCCATTCTGATTGGCTGCAACTCGACCGGAGGGAGGAGGAATGGAACGGAGAAAGCTCCCTCGCGGGCGTCACTTCCGTTTACTGTCCACCACCGCCGTGGTGTTCTCAGAGTGCGGCGGCGAAAGGACTGAAGGAGCTGGGGGACAAGAGGCGGGGTGGGCGGTAGGGGGAGGAAATCCCGTCGCTGAGACGCCGGGCTGGACGTTCCCGCCTCCTCCGACACTGTCAGGTCGGATCGGAGAAGGGTCACCGCCTCCTCCAGAGAGCAAGGGGGCGGAGCCCGGCTCAGGTGAGGCGACCCTGTCAGTACCAGCGGTGGTGGGGCTCGCGGGCGCGCTCACGTGGAGACCGTTGAGCTCCTGGAGAGCTAGGCTGGCTGCGCGAGCAGGCTCAAGCCTAGGCGTCCCGGCGCGCGCAGACGCGTACCAGTGACCCCCGCCTACCCTGCCGGTCTTTCTGTAGGGGTATTGTTACCCTCCGGAGCGGAGGGGCCAGGCGGGTTGGAGGCGGGTTCTTCTGCGCAGGCGTCCCCTAGGTCCTGACGCCAGGCTGTCTGTCTGCCGGGTGGGGCGGGGGCTCTTGCCCCCACGGATCTGCGGGCAGGCGGCGTTGGTTGCTGGGATGGGGTGGGAAAGGCCTAGGACCTATAGCCTGGCGGGTTAGCAGAGGATCTGCCGCCCTACGGGATGGGGTCGAGTGGCTTCGTTGCCCCCTTCCTGGGTCTGCGAGCGTCGAGGTTTCCTTTCACCAGAGCAAGGCCAAGGCGTTCTGGAATGGGGGACCAGCGGTTGACCCTTGGGGGGGTGGAGCCAGTCTTTTGGAATGTCTCCGCTTGTTATCAGAGGACTAAACTGATTATGGGCATTTACTGAATGCCCATTACTTCCAGCCTTCGTGCTAGGAGCTGGGGGGTGGAGGTAGGGGGGCGGTTGGTAAGAACTGCCGTTCCCCCTCTTCCCCTTGTTTGGAGGACAGCTTTGAACGTAAATGCTAATAACATCAGGCACTGAATTAAGGAGGGGTGGAGAGTTAGGTTTTTCCCTTCCAAAAACGAGAAGGAAAAAAAAAAGTCAGCCTGCATTCTGGTCTGGTGGAGGGTACTGTAAGAAGTCCTTCATAGGAGACAAATCCTAAATATTTATTCGGAGGAAAATTTTTAGGGAAAAGCACAGTAATGTCTTGATTACTAAGCCAAAGAAAGGCTCGGGTTCTAGTTAATTTGAATGAATAGAAGAAACCCTTCACCTTCAACAATTGAAACAAAACTTCTTCCAAAATATGCTAATATACTTTTCAGTTATAGTAAGTAGAAGATGTTAGGTACCTTGGGATCTTTAGAGGTTGAAGAGAATGTTGTGCCTTAGTCGTTGGTGATCTGTTACCCTTGTGTGGGCCGTTGTGCCTTAGATCATTAAAAAGGTGTGCTGGACGCCTAGTAGTCTTCTGGAGAGCTGGCTTTTCATTTGCTAAAGTCTTGCAATTTCCACGGAGAGGGTGGCTGGCCTCAAGCTAAAAGAGCAGCGGTGGGGAGAAGAGACCAGGTGGAGAGAGAAGAAGGAATTTTAAAGAACAGCCCCTAAACCAAAGGAAGCTTCCCACTGTTGCTTTAACCCCCACTGGAAATCTTAGCAAATTTGGGAAGAGTGGCCTGGCCACCACCTTCAGCTTTGGTGACCTGCCAGGTAAGACTAACTGGTTGGGGACCTATTCTGAGCCTTTGTGTTTCGCTGCATAAATGAACCAGGACTTTTTAAAAGTTCTGAAGTCAACCTGGTTTTTGATTTGCCTTTTTTCCCCTAAAAATTGTGTGAAAACATAGCTGGAGATGGTGGCAAGCTCTATTCTGGTGAATTGAGGTATTCCTAGCAAAATTCTGAACGTGATAAGATTTGGAAGAAAAACATCTCAGGGTGGTGTTTCCTAAGTTTAGAGGTCAGTGCTCTCTCAAAAGGGACTTTGTTGTAAGACTGTCATGAGAAGTTGACGTGATCTAAAAAAACCACTTTGATACACGATGCATGCAAGTGCTTTAATACTGAAAGTACTGAGTATGAATTATACTGCTTTGGAGCCCTTCGCTGTGGGTAAGACTTAAAAATAGCTTCTGTACAGGGAGACATGACAAAGTTTGCCTTAGGGCTGACACAGAATCTTGAATGTGCCTCAACTTCTCCTTAGAAAGGAAAAAGAAAACTTTAAGATATTTGAGTCCATGTTAGCTTTCAACTTGTATTTTCTTCATGTAAATTTGTTGTAAAATACTGTTCTCCTTTGTCAGTGGTAAGCAGAGCTTTTTCTTTTGCTGTACTTCTCATTTCTCAAATGTGAACATTGTCTAGTAGCATCAGATTTTGTTAGTGTAGCAGGTGGGATGGAATGTGACACGACACTGCACCTTTTGTCTAAGTATGAAGTGAATGTCTCAGATGCTAGAAGACCAGCTGTGTCTGAGCGCACTTGCCCTTACAGTTTTTTTCATCATTTTCATCACTAAGCAGTGGCTTTTCATCTGTGGGTCCAGTTGTGGGGGGGTGCCTTTCACCTGATTCGTTATATAGATGTTTGCTACAGGCTTTGGTTTATCTTTCGGGCAGCTCAAACCGTCCGGCAGCCCGACTCCGTTGTAATATAATAGGCGGGCTATACTGTGCCCTGGAAGGAAGTCCCCATGCGCAGCTTGCCTCAAGGAGCGGGGACTTAGGCTGCATCTCTTTGAGGGTCAGGTGTCTACATAAATTACTTGGAATTGTCCTGACAGGAGGTTTGACACTTCTCTCCCGATTATTTATGTAAGCAATCGCCTGTATCAGCATGGACCTATGGATACTTGTTGTATATATTTGGGGTACAGTCCAGTACTGTTTTATCTTTTTGCTCAAATTGTTTCACCTGTGGCCTTTGGGAGTTCTTTCTCCTGTTGGTCTGTGTCCCTTTCATGTACTCATTATCATGTTTGTTTGAAGCATTTCCTTACCTGCTGACATTATAAGATACTGCAGGCTTATCATGTGTATTTTCTGCCCCAGTCCTAGAATCAGCCATTTCTCCAAAGAGCACTAGTTCCTTTTGTTAGAAAATGGTATTTGAAACCAAGTTTTGGGCACCAGGATGCTCAGGGTGGTATTAATATACTTTTTTTTTTTTAATTTTTTTTTAATGTTTTTTTTATTTATTTCTAGGAGAGAGAGAGACAGCGTGAGCAGGGGAGGGTCAGAGAGAGAGGGAGTCACAGACTGAAACAGGCTCCAGGCTCTGAGCTGGCAGTCAGCACAGAGCCCGACGCGGGGCTTGAACCCACGAACCGCGAGATCATGACCCGAGCGAAAGTCGGACGCTTAACCGACTAAGCCACCCAGGCGCCCCAATATACTTTTTTTTTTTTTTTTAAATCTCTTTAATGCCTAGTTTAAAAGACAGGTATATTCTCATACTTTTGTATTCAATTTGTTGTGATATAATCTTTAAGACAATTTTTTTATGTTCATTTATTTTTGAGAGAGAGACAGTGTGAGCGGGGGAGGGGCAGAGAGAGAGGGCAGAGAGACCCAGAATCTGAAGCAGGCCATAGGCTCTGAACTGTCAGCACAGAGCCCGACTCGGGGCTTGAACTCACAAACCGAGAGCCAAAGTCAGATGCATAACTGACTGAGCTACACAGGCACCCCTGTTGTAATAATATCTTGATTAAAGCATAACTAAGAAAAATCCAGGGCCATACAGATATGTATGTAGTTGGAAGAGGGGGGAGTATTTTAGTAGCTTTGTCAGATACTTTTCCAGTACTATAACAGAGCTGAGCAAATGGTATTTTCTTAAGTGGTTAGTTGCAATGTGTAATCTGAAACTGTATCAACAAACTTTTCTATTCTGTTACACAGAAATACATTACTTTGTGTCTTGCACTGTGAATGCATTTCTTTATACCTTTTTTTTAAAAATTTTTTTATAGTTTATATTTATTTTTGAAACAGAGAGACACAGAGCATGAGCAAGGGAGAGGCAGAGAGAGAGGGAGACACAAAATCTGAAACAGGCTCCAGGCTCTGAGCTGCCTTCACAGAACCTGATGCGGGGCTCGAAGCCACGAACTGTGAGATCATGACCTGAGCTGAAGTCAGACGCTTAACCGACCGAGCCACCCAGGCGCCCCGATCCATACCTTATTTTTTAACATCACGGTTTATAACATTGGTCATTTGGAAAATACTGATTCACTGAGTTATGCAGATCTTCCAAATGTTGATGCATTTAGTATACAATATTTTAAAAAAATCACGTTTCATTAATATCGCTAGTGATCTCATTGGGTTTGAGCAGTTGGGAAGCTGTCAAACTCATGGTGACCAATACATATTTTCCAAAATTCTAACTTTTACCTGAAAGCTCAAATTTTATCATAGGCAATAAATACTGTTAAGTTGTTTTCCTTGAAACCACAAGCTCATTTCATTCATTTTCAAGAGAATGTCTGGCAGATACACAAGTCTGAATAACCATAGTTTGTCAGTCATTATTCTCCCAAGTTATAATGGTGTTCCATGAGAAAAGCAATTAGTTCAGCTTACAACTCCGAAGTTGCACAGGTATTTTTCCTTGCGACAACAGTGCATTCCATTTCGCAGCACAGTGACTTCAAGTATACTTTCCATTTCATCTCACATAATATTTAAAAAGACATGTGTTCAAGATTTGAAACCAACGATGAAGAAGGGAAGGGGAGATTCAGTCTCCTGTGGAGTCGGCATTTTGTAGTAGTGCCTGTGTCCAGCACTCACACAGCACTCTGGCCAGATTGTTCCCGCACCCCAGATCCAGCTCAGGTGGGCAGCCTTCCCATCAACTCTTCCAGCCACTTACTTTTATGCTTAGGTTAGCTAGAAACAGTTTCTGTTGCTACAGCCAAGAACCCTGACTAGTAGTGTGCTCAAGCTTTAGAAAAACAAACAAACAAAAACAATTAAAATATTTTTGGGGGCGCCTGGCTGGCTCAGTTGATTAAGCTTGATTTCGGCTCAGGTCATGATCTCAGTGTCCGGAGATGGAGCCCATCCCTGTCTGGGCTCCCTGCTGGGCACGGAGCCTGCTTGAGATTCTTGTTCTTTGAAAAAAAGAAAAAAACTTCTCTCCCTCTCCCTCTGCTCCTCCCTGCACTCTTGCACGTAAGCGTGCTTTCCCTCTCTCTCAAAAAAAAGGGAAAAAACATAAACGACTTTTTTACAAAAGTAACCTGAAAAGTGATGATAGTCTTTAGTTCAAAATTATATGCCTCTTTTTTAACTTGTCTGACCATGTGTGGTGATCATTAACATCAGTTTTGAGCATTTACAATCCACTGCCTACCACGCTAGCCTTACCTACTCTCCAGCCAGAATAAATACGCGGCTTCCCCCCCGCCTCAAACCTCTCCCACTTTTACGTCTGTGTGGAATGCATTTTACATCTCATTTTATTCAAATGCAAACCTGTCCCTAGCTCTATTGTCAGGGCCACTGAGAAGCTGGAAATAACCTTTGCCTTCTCTGAGCTGCTGAGCACACTTCATCTTTCAGGTGGCACTTAATGCTTTCCACTTTGTCGTATGGTTATTTGTATGTCTTGTTTCCATTAAGCACCTGTGATGGTTAGGACTATGCCATCCAAATCTCTCTTCCACAGCACTTAACCTTGGACGAAGCAAGCACTTCAAAACACTGGATGAATGAATTTGTATACCAAATACACAAATGCCTTCATGAGCTATTGTGATCTCTAGGGCTGTGTAGCCCCTCCAGGACATGGCTCCGAGTTGCCGGCCTCTTTTGTCCCTTAGTGGGTCAGCTGTCTTTTTTTGCAGCTGTCAGTGTGCAGCCGCCACTTGCCCTCATTCTAGGATTGCTGTTGCTCTTCTTCAATCAATTGGGAAACTAGAAAAACTTGAAATTTGTTTATTTAAAACAAAAGACTATGTATATGAGCTCCTGAGGGGCTTTCCTATGAGGAAACCTTTCGTACACAGGCTTTGATCTTTAATTTGGGTGTTCTGAGACTTTCTGGGTTTTGGCTGATTGTAGAGACAAGGACTCTCAGGAAAATGACTGTTGGGTAATACGGTGTTATATTTTGTCTACATACAGTCAAAGCTCATTCAAAAAATAACTTACTGAACTGTACATCAGGCACTTTGGGTGGGAGAGAAAATGCCCTCAAAAAGCTGTTTTAGTAGAAAGAGCATTTTGAGTTTGCACTAGGAATATAAGTAGGGCACTAATACCTTTTCTTATTCAAACAGAATCATGAAGTTCTAGGTCAGCTAATCCCCAGGAATTTTGGACTGGAAAACAAGGTGGCAGAGCAGGGAGAGCTGGAGGGGAGGGTAAGATGGTACAGGCTCTGGCTTTAGCTTGAGTTCCCCAGTCATGCTCACTTTTGGTGGTTGATAGATTCCCTTTCTAATAGATCTGATGTGTCCGGTGTCCGAGCCAGCCCTGACAGAGCACAAACAGAGAGATTATGAAATTAGTCGTGCTGACAGATTGGGTTCTGGAGTTAACCTTGGGCACCCGCCCGCCCACCTGGGCCCTAGCCTTTGCCCACTTCCACTCAGTCAACTCAGAACAGTGGGTTCTGTCTCCAGGACTTGGAGCCCTGTCAATCCTCGACCGCTTGTGTGGGCCCTGGCCTAGTTTTATTCTCTTACATTTGGTTTTGCCCAGATCATCTTTAAAAGTGGAGGACAAGTTCTGCTTGGTTACTTTTTCCGCTAGGGTTTTATCCAGATTAGGGATATTGAATGTGGAGAATTCCTTAGAAGGTTAAGACACTTCCTGCAGGTGGCAACTTGTGTGCTGGTCCTGCCTGGCTCGCAGGCAGCAGGCCCCGCGGTACGGCGGTAGATGATATCTGAGTGTGGGTGTACTCTGCTTTATGAACTAAGTATATTATTGAAAAGCAGGCGGGTAGGTCAATATAGAAGTCAAATAGTTTAAAATGTGCTATTAATGGGTTTGTTCTCCTAGAACACAAATGAACTTTTTTATTAGTCTAAGTAAAGCACTATTAGGAAAGTAAATCTATTGAGAAAACAGTCAGCTCTTGATTATTCATGTTAATATAACAAGCAGTGGCGTAAGTGTATTTTCTTAATTATATTTAGTTTGGAAATTACTAAAAATCTGTTCCTGTAGATAACAGATATTGTAGTGTACACTCACTCTGAGTCAGGCAGTTACAAATTGGTAGATTACTTGCTGAATCTCCTCCAACTATATAGGCTCATATTGTCACATTTTAAGATCTTTTAGAGACCTGAAGCTTTTTTCCTTGGTTTCAAAGCCTTAGACAGTCAGCTTTTGCTAAAACACTTACCTTCTCAGCATGAGCTCTTTTTATTGCTTTTACACTGGGTTTTACTCTGAGTTTGCTAGAACTGCTTGGGAGTTTTGAATAACCATGATCTTGATTCATGATTCTCTTCCATCAGAGCTGAGAGTAACAACTTTTATGTCTCCCAAACTGAATTTTTAAAATACCCCTTCTAGATCCAGAAAGGTTTTAAGATAGACATGTTATTTAGATTTTTCTGAAACTGATTTAAACCTCATGTTTGACTATGTGACAGATCCAACATAAACTAGGTTCGGATAGAAGGGGAATTCACTGGCTCATGAAATAGGAAGCCCTAGGGTGATGCCACCTACAGTCCTGGCTGGATCCCAGGGTCTTGATGGGATCAGGCTGTTGATTTTGGGGTTGGCTTCCTTCTCAGACAGGCACAAATGGCCACCATCAGTGCTAGACTTACATCTACCTTATAACTTGCAAGCTGGGTTCAGAGAATGCCAGGGCAGACTCTAATTGGCATGGCTTGGGTCACGTACCTATCTCAGAAACCATCATTGTAGTCGTGGGGAGTGGGTACCATATTGACCAGGTCTCCCTGGATTATCTGTCCACTCTTGGAACTCAGAGGTTTGCACAGTCTGATCTGCACCATGTGCACTAAGAATGTCCCCCAAGGTAGGCAGACAAAAAAAAAGTATTCCTTGAGACAGGATTTGAATGTTGATCTGTGAGGTGTTAACAAGTTTCACATTGTCCCAGTTATTTGTTGCCATGTAACAAATCACATTGCAAACTTAATGGCTTGAAACAACAAAAAGCATTTCCTTATCTCTAGGGAGTTCTATGTCATTTCTGCGATAGTCACACAGTTGCCTGGCTTTAGGGGGAGTGAACACAGACCCCACGTCTTGATGAGAAGAGGGTCAATGTCACACTGTAAGAAAGCATGCAGTATGGGAGAGCTTCATGTGGTGAGCCATCTTGGAAGATACAATCTGCTTTACACATTGCCCTACTTCAAGTGACTAGTTTTTATAAAGAACATGAAGTCTCAGGGCTTGGCTTGCCCTTATATTGACCAGCTCACTTTGTTGCCTCGTGTATCTTGTATTTCACTAAGGAGTGCTCTGGCTTTCTTTCTGCTTACCTGATAGCTCTCTGATTTCCTATTTTTGATTGATCTCAGCCCACTTTATGTATAGTCATGTTTAGTGGATAAATCAGCAACCAGCCTGTCGCTATAGAAGTAAAAAATAGAAAGACCCTTCTTTGCTTCCCCTGCATAGTCAAGGGCAGGAGGTGGGTGGGTCCCTAAGCTCAGCAGCTGAAAGCTCTCCCTAGAACTTCAAGTAGATAATTTTTTTTATTGAATAGACCTCCAGCCAGTCCTCCTGCCTTGGCATCACCTTCAGTCTGCTTCCCCGGCACTCGTGCAGTCAGCTCCCGAGCCTTTGGGTAGGTAGGGGGCTTATATAGATGTCAGGTTGTTTTGGCCACTGCCAGTTTAGGATTTAGCTCTCTGGGCTTGCTGAGTCAGTCAGTGCTCATTCATTTTCCTGCTCACCAGCTTCCAAAATGCTAACTGATACTTCTTTCCCATTTTCCTTTTCCTCATGGGTTTCTACCTTTTAAAGAGCAAATTCAAAAACTTTGGTGTCCTTTTAATGGGGTTTCAGCAGTGAGTGGAGGTAAATGCATGTGTGCGATCTACCACCGTCTATAATTGGAAATGTTACCCACTCATACTGATTTGCCCCATCACTTCCTTAAGGTTGCCAAAAGACTGGAATTTCTTGGAGCTTAGGGAATGCAGAATTCAAATGAACTTCTCCAGGTAGATGTTCCATCTCTTACACACTGGGTCCTAAGTGTTCCAGGGATCAGTCCAGTAAGAGTGAAGGGGAGCCTGTAAATGGCCAGTAGCTGATCCCACCTGGGAACATGTGTCCAGGACTGTTAGCTGAATTGGCATTTGCTCCTCACGAGACAGGTTTTTGGTCTGTGTGCCCATCATCAGAAATATCAGAAGCTTTAAAAGGTCCAAGCTGGGCCATCCACATCTCTCTTCATCACAGCCTCTGTGCTCTTGCTTTGATTTCAGCTTTTCTAAGTCTTAACATGTTCTCTCTTTATTTTTTATTTTTTTTTTTGTTTTGTTTTTTTGTTTTTTGTTTTCTCCAGGATCATGGATTTTCCTGGACATTTTGAACAGATCTTCCAGCAACTGAACTACCAGAGACTTCACGGTCAGCTCTGTGACTGTGTCATTGTAGTGGGGAATAGACATTTTAAAGCCCACCGCTCTGTGCTGGCAGCATGCAGCACGCATTTCCGAGCCCTGTTCTCCGTGGCAGAGGGAGATCAGACCATGAACATGATCCAGCTGGATAGCGAGGTGGTGACAGCGGAGGCCTTCGCCGCACTGATTGACATGATGTACACCTCCACCCTCATGCTGGGTGAGAGCAACGTCATGGATGTCTTATTGGCAGCCTCTCACCTGCATCTGAACTCTGTCGTTAAGGCATGTAAACATTACTTAACGACAAGGACGCTGCCCATGTCCCCCCCCAGTGAGCGCGTCCAGGAGCAGAGTGCCCGCATGCAGCGCTCCTTTATGCTGCAGCAGCTGGGGCTGAGCATCGTGAGCTCGGCCCTCGGTTCCAGCCAGAGTGGTGAGGAGCAGCCAGCCCCCCTGAGCTCGTCAGTGCGCAGCAGCCTGGACCAGCGGACGCCCTTCCCCATGAGACGCCTTCATAAGCGCAAGCAGTCTGCTGAGGAGCGGGCCAGACAGCGCTTGCGGCCCGCCATGGAGGAGTCCGCCATTGCTGATGTCACGCCAGAGACTGGGCCGTCAGGGGTCCATTCCCGGGAGGAGTTCTTTTCACCCGATTCCCTAAAAATCGTGGACAACCCGAAAGCCGACGGCATGACCGACAACCAGGAAGACAACGCCATCATGTTTGACCAGTCCTTTGGTGCTCAAGAAGACGCCCAGGTGCCCAGCCAGTCGGACAACAGTGCCAGCAACATGGCCCCACTGTCCATGGCCTCTCGTGCAACTCAGGTGGAGACCAGTTTTGAGCAGGAAGCCACAACTGAGAAAAACGGTTTTCAGTGTGAAAATCCTGAGGTTGGTCTTGGTGACAAGGAACACATGAGAGTGGTGGTTAAATCTGAGCCCCTGAGCTCTCCGGAGCCTCAGGACGAAGTGAGTGACGTGACCTCACAAGCAGAAGGCAGCGAATCTGTGGAAGTGGAAGGGGTTGTGGTCAGTGCTGAGAAGATCGACCTCAGCCCTGAAAGTAGCGATCGGAGTTTTTCAGATCCCCAGTCTAGCACTGATAGGGTGGGTGACATCCATATTTTGGAAGTCACAAATAACTTGGAGCATAAATCGACTTTTAGCATTTCGAATTTCCTTAACAAGAGCAGAGGAGGGAACTTTAGTGCAAATCAGAACAGTGATGATAACATCCCAAACACCACTAGTGACTGCAGGTTGGAGGGCGAGGCCCCATATTTGTTGAGTCCAGAGGCTGGGCCTGCGGGCGGGCCCTCCTCGGCCCCTGGCTCTCACGTGGAGAACCCGTTCAGTGAGCCTGCGGACTCCCACTTCGTCAGGCCTATGCAGGAAGTGATGGGCCTGCCATGCGTGCAGACTTCTGGCTACCAAGGAGGAGAACAGTTTGGGATGGATTTTTCCAGGTCTGGTTTGGGCCTCCACTCCTCCTTCTCCAGGGTAATGATGGGCTCCCCGAGAGGAGGGGCCGGTAACTTTCCATACTACCGACGCATAGCTCCCAAAATGCCAGTGGTAACTTCTGTCAGGAGCTCCCAGATCCCAGAAAACCCGGCCGGTTCCCAGCTAATGATGAACGCGGCCACGTCCTCATTTGAGAATGGCCACCCTGCACAGCCCGGCCCTCCGCAGTTGACCAGGGCATCTGCTGACGTCCTGTCGAAGTGCAAGAAGGCCTTATCCGAGCACAACGTCCTGGTCGTGGAGGGGGCTCGCAAGTACGCCTGCAAGATCTGCTGCAAGACTTTTCTGACCTTGACAGATTGCAAGAAGCACATCCGTGTTCACACAGGTGAAAAACCGTACGCCTGCCTCAAGTGCGGCAAGAGGTTCAGTCAGTCCAGCCACCTGTACAAACATTCAAAGACGACGTGCCTGCGCTGGCAGAGCAGCAACCTGCCCAGCACTTTGCTCTAACCCCGGGCCCCCGGGGTCACGCCGACACCAGCCGTGGGACCCGCGCCGTCATCTCCTCTGGTTGGCGGTTAGTGCCGTCGGGGTGCAGGCTGCGGGCTGCCCGGCGGCTCATGGAGATTCCGGGCCCAGCGCGTGCGGAGCGAGTACGTATAGGATGCGTACTGCTGCGTTTCCGAGCAAAATGCACGCGGTCCCCGAAGCCAAGTTCTTCCTTAGGGTTGAGTAATTCAGTCAGAAAGTAGTTTGTAATCGATGGTGTTACAAGTGGCACATTTAAACATTAAGAATTGAAGTGCAAAAAAATTTTTTTAGCAATTTTTATAAAACTCCGTGGAGCATTTAATGAAATTTCCTATATCCTCCGAAGGGAATATTATATACCTGTACAGTGATGCAAAATGCACTTAGGTGTGACCAGTGGCGCACTCGTGCCTGTCCAAAAGGAAGGCCCTTGAGGACATGCCTGTCCGCCACGAATGCTTTAAAGTGTATCCTGAGCGAATCCAAGGCCTCAGAAAGTACTGTATTTTAAATTCCCGTCTCATTTGCAGTCACAGACACTGCACTTTGCTGGTGCTGACACTGGGTCCAGAGCGAGCGTTCTCCGGACCGTAGGTGTACATACTTTTGAAAACATCACTGCTGGATAGTTGTTTGAACAATTTTTCCTGCTTTTAAAAGCAGAGCTGTAAATGGAGTACGTACCTGTAGGGAGTGACAAGTGAGGTGTTGTTTCTGTTCGTGCTGTTTTAGTGGAGTCTCAGCCAACTTGTGTCACGGATGTTACAGCTCCATGTTTGGAAGTCAGAAAAGAGCTGGTGTTCGTCTTTGTTCCGGTGGTGTGGAGTCCTGTTCTGTGGGATCTTTCATGGCGCATTTACCCTCCGCTCCATCCAGCCTCCGGGGGCCGGGCCAGCCTGCCGCGTCTCACCCAGTGACAGCCCATCCTGCTTCGCTTCCTCACACTCTCTCGCCCCAGGTGGCATCTTTCCCAGGCCTACGTCACTGTTTTTGTTGCACACTAACCAAAAACGATGTTAACCCCCTCCACCGTGGGTTTACTTACTTTTATATACTGTAGTTTTAAAGTGTAGACCTGAGCTTTTATTGTTGTTGCTCCCACCCAATACTGAATGTTTAGAATCCAAACGTAGCAGTGTTCCCAGATAGATGTCTTCCAGACTCTGCAGGAGAGTTGGGCAGCCCAGAGCATGGCAGTCACCAGGCAGCACCAGAGACTGAGGAGACATCTGGGCCACTGCCCGGGCCTCTCGGGGCCACTGCCCGGGCGTCTCGGGGCCGCAGGGCCTCGCTTCGCCAGCCCTTCCTGCGCTGTCGGGGCTCTGCCGGCACCTGTGTTAGGTTGAGCCCTGGCTCCTGGGCCTCCGGGAGACGTGCCTCTGTAGAGCTCATGAAGTCAGTTTAATTCATGCATGAACGGGAGTTCAGTTTTTATACGGCTTTTTTAGAGACACCAAACCATTGTGCTTAATCAAGAGAAATCCTTCAGTCCCTTTGAGTAGGGAGCTGAGTACGTGTAGCCTAAAACGATCGGCATGGGTTTTCTCCTCTGAATCTAATGTGCGAGGTCACACATTTGTCTGTGGCTGAGATCCGAACGTTCAGAGTCGGGCTCAGCATCGACCTGTGAACTGAGCTCCAGGGAGAAAAGCCGAACGGGAGACTTCTGTGATTCCTCTCCTTCCTCAATGTGGGAAAGAGACTGCCAGAGGATAGATCGCGTGTGAAATTCGGTCGGGTGTGTGGCTGTTGTCAGTGGTTGTGTTCTGACGTGTTGTGAGGAGGCTCTACATCCACCCCTCTACTTGACATCGGGACCAGTGTCTTGTGAGGACACTAACCTTGGGAAGCAGGTAGGTCAAGGTGGAGCACAGAAGAGGCCCTGCCTAGGCCCAGGGAGAGGAACCAGTAGCACCGGGGAGAGCAGTGCTAGCCCTCCCAGCCTGAGGAGGAGGTGCCAGGAGGCTGCGCCCTCACCTCCGCTCCGGTTTAAGCGGACTTCGCTTTAGGGCCTGGCTCTGACACAGTGGCTGGAGCCCTGTCTCTCTGCGGCTAGATGGAATCTGGAATCTCTCATCTACCTCTTAGTTTCTATGTGTGAGAAGCAAGCTTTTGGGCCAGCGTCCTCATACATGCTGTAGAACTTACAAAATAATTCAGAGGTTCCCTGCAAAACCAGTCAGGGTTCCTATGATCCGAGGTTTCTACCTGAATTATAACTGGTATTGGGTACCTGGATTCTGATTGGTTAGCCTTAATTAGAGCCCGGCATAATCATTTCTGGTGATCAAATCACAAAGTTCTGTCAGGGCACCCATGTCAGTGGTGCTGTGCTGGTCAAAATTTGCGATTTTGAAATAAAAACTTTGTCACATTCATGCCTCTAACTAAACGTGTTCTTTTTCTTCACCTAGGTCATTAAGGCTGAAACAAACAGGGACGTAGTATGGCTTTCTCTGCTAATGCTGCTTTGACCAGTACTTTTTAATAAAAAAACCCAAACCTCCTAAAAAACACCCTTCACACCGCCCCGCACGATCATTGGCCACCCCCCTCGGTTCCACCCCTTTGCGCTCCCTGCACTCTGCCTTGGAGGCGAGGACGTGGGTGAGCCTTGTTCTCAGCGCGCCCTGTGCCCCTCCTAACCAGCTGCTTACTCCTGTGCTTTCTGCCGCTCCCTTACCTGCCTCCCGGGGCGAAAGCTCCGTGTGCCAGGCTGGCGTGGCTGGGCAGAGCCGGAAACTGGTGCCTTCGGTGGGAGCAGGGCTTTGGCCATGCAGGGGCCTGGCCGCAGGAGGAGCAAGCAAGGTGGTGATCAGAAAAAGGGCATCCACCTGGGGTGGGGATGACGCGGGAGATGGACAAAGGGAGCAGAGCGTGAAGGTACTGACGCTAACTTTAAAATAAAAATTAAGAAACCCACCTATCTCCACTTCTTGGCTCCCAAAATGAGAGTACTGTGACCTTACCTAGTTCTCTTTGCCATGTATATTGACTGATGGTCTAGGTATCAGACTGAAGTGCTGTGGTCACCACTGGGCTATGGCTGTCCCACCCTCAGTGAGGAAGAAGTGAAGGAGCAGAGCAGGAGATGAGGGATAAGGTAGTGTGGACAGGTTCTAATAATTCACATGCAAGGAGGGTGAGGGCTGGGGGCGGGGCAGATCCCACAGGCCGCTAGATGCCCTGATTTCAGAAAGGGAAGCAGGTGCTCGTGTTAACTTCTCCCAGTTAGAGGCCCACACCGTCTCTCAGACAATTCTTTAATAGGATCACATACTTTTGGCTCAGATGATTCGAACCACAAAAGCGGCAAGCCCGTGTGTCAGCACCGGTCTTCCTTCTGCAGGATGGGAGCAGATCAGACTTTCTTCCTTGGCTCCCGTCCTCTGGGCCCAAGTGAAGCCTGTGCCCACTGACACACTCCAAGGGCACTGTTGGCCTCCTGACCTTCCAGGACTCCCGTCTGGCTACAGCTTGAGTTCACTGGGCATCGGCTCCCCTCTCAGGCCAGCCAGCAAGTTGTTGGCTGCCAACAAGGACATGGTGTTTCGGGTCCCGTAGGTGGCACTGCCAATGTGGGGCAGGATCACTGGAAAAGGGAGGAGGAGAGGGAGGTAAGATGGGTGTTTCAAGAGCCTTAAAGTGGGCTGCTTTCCCCACCAGGGGTTGCCAGTAAGAAAGAACAGAGAGAACCCGCCTCTGTTTTTGTGTTTTTTTTTTTTTAATTTTTTTTTTTTTTGGTTTTATTTATTTTTGAGACAGAGAGACAGAGCACAAGTCGGGGAGGGGCAGAGAGAGAGGGAGACACAGAATCTGAAACAGGCTTCAGGCTCTGAGCTGTCAGCACAGAGCCTGACACGGGGCTTGAACCCACGAACTGTGTGATCATGACCTGAGCCAAAGTCGGACGCTCAACTGACTGAGCCACCCAGGCTCCCCAGCCTCAGTGTTCTTTGATTTGCCTACTGTCCTTATGTGTGCTGCTCCGTGGGGCTGTCAGAGTAACGGCAGAGGGACTCGGGGCCACAGAAACCTAGATGTGAGGGTGGTGACAGATACTTATCCTAAATAGGATGATGAGCCCAGAAGGGGTCTTGGAGCCTATCTAGACCCAGCCCTTCAGAAATCAGATGGTGAAACTAGGTGCCAGTTCAGCTTGGGGGTTTCAGGCTGGTCATCCATACCCGTGCCCCTAAACCACCCTGAACGTGGTGCCACATGGCTTCTGATCTACGCAAGTCACTACAAGAAGGAACAGTGGACAGACCAGCTCCCTCTGGCCCCTCCCACTGCAGAGCAAGTGAGGTCACTTGTCCCCAAAGAACGCCTTTCAAAAGCAGCACCCAGGGCACTGGGCTACACTCCCGGGCCTCGCAGGGATGGGACAGTCTCAGCTGTGGGCAGCAGCCCAGATATGGCAGCCAGTGTTCCTCCTTTCAGCCTGGCATGGGTGCTGGGGCCAGGTGTCCAAGGGCTACGATGACAGCATTCCCTGCAGGGAAGGAAGGCAGCCAAGAACCTGCTCTCTGAGTTCCCATTCCCTTTCCTGGTAAAAAAAGGACCGGGACTGGCTCAGACCCTGCAGTTCTATATAAGTCTGGACACAGAAACCACACCAGCTACCTGGACAGAGCTTACCATGAAGAACGCTGACCAGGTATACAGTACGTGGGGAGGCTAGAAAGAGAACACTGAGGCAGCGGTTCTCGAAGTGTGGTTCCCAGTTTTTGGTTTGTTTTTTTTTAATACACACCTGAAATTACAATGGACTTTTAAAGATTCTGATACACAGAAAAGAATAAGCTAGATGGGGAAAGGTAAAGAATCAAGGCTGAGGAACAAAAGTACCATGGGATATCTAAAGACTTAAGCGAGTATGCAAAATTGCATTATTCTGGTTCTTAGAAAGCAAAGTTATTTAGGCTAACGTAAGTGGAGATCAGACTTTTTAAGAGGACTGAAGAGATCATGGAATATGGAGAAAACCCTACAGTCAGCAAAAATCAAGGAAACACACAGAGAGAGCCCAGCTGGAATCTTTTCCTGTCGCATTTTCAAAGGCTCGGAAAGGAATCTTGCACGGGCTGAGCTTAATCCACTAGTTGACTGAGACGACAGACGACGAGAAGATGGACTTTTAGGAAAACGCACACGTCTCGCATTTTAGATGCACAAGCAATCTAACTTTTAAAAATCCTGTAACTCCTACGTTTTGAGGCCCCATTCAAAGCAGCACTGGTGTGGGAGCCCATGATAAGCACATATTTTCAGCTCCCACCCCAGACCTCCTGGAGCCGAAGCCCTTGGCCCAGCACCCTGTGCCTGGTCAGTCCCTTCAGGTGACTGATGAATGTAGAAATTTTAAGAACCTCCACACTAGGGTATCCTAGACAGCGACCGCCAGAACCGACCTCCCTGGGCTGGGCGACAGGGAGAGGTGGGACTGTACAAAAGTTCAGAGACTGAAGGAAGGGCCCCTCCTAGCCCTGCAACTAGGCCTCAAGGCCTGCATCTCTGAGGCGGCGCAAGGGCTAAGCAGGGGCTAAGCTGATGCTGGGAAGACCATGAACCAGATTCACTGGCCGCCGCAAGAAGGAACGGCTGCTGCTGGGCGAGGAAGCGTTGCCACGTGCTGCTCACAGAGAGAGACCCGCGAGAAGGCAGGAGGAAGCCGGGTCCTGCCGCTGCCCAGCTAGCGGGTCCAGCAGCAACGGGTGGGCAGCGTCCCAGCCGCCGCAACACGACAGCGGAATAGCCGAGGGTAGGTTTGGAGGCAAGAGACTAACTGGCACAAGTTACACATATCAGAATTGCAATTACACTGTTAGTTCCTCACACTTAAACTGGGCGTGGCAGTTTCTAGTGATGGGTTTTACCCACGCAAGCTATGGATGGAAGACGCGCAGTCACCCCCTTCCTTTTAACAAATCCACCCCCACCACCTAGACTCATTCCCTAAGGGACAGAGACCCAGATGCACAGCTCAGAAGGCCCCTCCCCTCGTCCCTATGTGCCAGTGTCACTAAGAGCATAAACGTGCCGTCCCGGGCGTGTCCCTCTGTGCTCGGTATTGCTCACAGCGGCTGTGCACCCAGCACCTCCAGATCACCTGGGTCCTACGTGACTCTGCATGGGGAAATCGCAGTTCTCACCACAGTTCTTCAGGGTCAGGAGAGGGTGGCTTGTAGGCAGTGGCTCCGGGGTCGTCACATCCAGTCCAGCAGCGGCAATCTGCCCGCCAGCCAAGGCCTGGTACAGGTCGTCCTGGTTCACGATGTCTCCCCTGCGGATGACATGGTGATGTGGGTACCCAGAAGCTTCCTCTATCCAGGCCTCCTTTACAGCAGAACCAGCCACAGAATGAATTTTCCCACTGACCAGGCACACTTGGCACTGGCTTGTAAAGTAATAAGATACTTCCTTACAATAAGTCTCTATGGTAATACCAAGAGGCCCAGCCCTATCACCTTGCAGCTGCGTGGCCTTGGGCAAGCGTGCCCCATTCCTCCGGAAGACGGGGAGAATGCACCCACCCGATCTGCGTTCGTGTGGGGCCCCATCGAGGCATTTCTGATGTGGAAGACGGGGAGAATGCACCCACCCGATCTGCGTTCGTGTGGGGCCCCATCGAGGCATTTCTGATGTGGCTGGTCCCCGGGGCACCCACTGAGAACCACCGCAGCCTGCCGGCGGGCACGTGCCTACTGAGGGCAGAGACGCAAGGAGATTCCTAACTGGCTGGCTGGAGACTTCACACTGCACACGAAGCAGTGTCTGTACAGTAAGAAATGACGCAGCACCCTGGACGGTACTGGGTACGTGCAGGTGCTCAGTAAATGGAAGCTGGGATGCTGTCGGCCATCAGCATGAGCCCTATGTTCCTGCAGGTCTCGCTCCCCTCCAGGTCACCTCCTCTGGAGTGGGGAACCCTAAGGTGGGGGTGGGGGGGGCTCATGAAATCCTTCCCTTTGCCTTTTTTGCCTCCACACTGACTTGAGCAGGTTCACAGGGCACCATCTAGGAAGGGGTTGGAGTGGCAGAGAGGGAAGGTCTGCCCCCACAACATGGCCAGCGGGCTGAAGGCACCGCGTACCTGCTGATGTTGACAAACACGGCTGTCTTCTTCATCTGCCGGAAGAAGTCCTTGTTGCAGAGTCCCTTGGTTGCAGGCGTTAAGGAGCAGGCCACAATGATGAAATCAGACTCGGCGGCCAGCTTGGGGGTGGACACTGGGGGAGGGCGGGGCTCCATCAAATGCCGGCTCCCAGGGTGGAGACAGCAGAAGGGTGGGCAACCAGAATTGGTCCTTGCTTTCTTGTGCTGAATTGGAAACTCCCAAGAAACTTCCTGAAGTCCTTGTCTCTACCTGAACACCTCTGATAACTACAAAGTCGATAGCTGCTCGTGGGATCCAGTGTATTACAGCATTCGTCCAGCCCTCTGGTCTCACAGATGGGGAAACTGAGGCCAGGGAGGGGCAGGAGCTTGTCAAGGTCAAGGTCCCACCCAAGTGGGACCTGGGTGCCTCTGGCAATGCGCCAAAGGTGTGAGGAATGGCTAAAACCCAGCTGCCCTCCGCTCACAAGGCTATGCACGTGCCAAGGGACTGTGTCCACCAGATGCAAGGCTGGGGGACAGGGCTCCCCGGCTTATTAAGAAAATGTGAGTGAGAGTTCCCAGCAATTCCTTACATCCATCACCATCCCTGCTGCTCTGCCCAGACATGGACAGCAGTGACAGGGAACTCTGCAGGTGACCTGGAGAGCTCCGGCACAAAGAGAACTCACTGTGTGGCCTGGATAAGTCCCTGTGCTCTCTCACCGGGCCTGTGTCCAGAGGCCGACAGATCAGCACCTGAGGGACACCGCAGGCCCTAGACACACCTGGGGCTCCCACACTCTGCCCCCAAAATGCTGTCACCTCAGAAACAGACCCCTCTAGCCAGGCACAGATGGGGCTCCTGTGGAAACGAAGGCTGTACTTACCAAACTCGGCCTGGAATTCTTCTGCCTCCTGAGGCCTGGGCTGGCGCCCTGTGTATAGAAATTTCTGGACGCCGAAAGGCTTCAGACGCCGAGCAATGGCCTGGCCTGGAGGCAAAGAGAGTCCTGGCTTGTCCCCAACCCCCGAGAGGGCAGGAGTAGCACCCAGCAGCTCCAGGGCCAGGGAGCCCTTGAGAGGTTGGCCCTTCCATCAGCATAGTCCCCACACGAACTGAGCCGGCCCCGTGAACCAGCCCGCGAGGGGCCAGAGATCTGGAGGGAGCCCCGCAGCTCCTCTGTGGCTGTGGCTGGCTTGTGCTGTCCTCACATGGTCCTGGCCATCTTGAGGGCCATTTGTTAACCTTCCCTGAGAACTGGACCTGGCATCCCAGGAGAGGTCTCACTGAGTGGTCCCCTCCCTGCTTCGGGACCCCTGCTTCTGTTAACGCAGCCCAAGACCTCTTATGACTTTTCAGTCCCTCAGCTGCCAACTCGGCCCAAATCTTTAAGACATTTTTACATGTGCTGCTACTGAGCCAGGCTCGGGCTGCTAGGTTTTCGGAATCAGAAAGCGGCCCAAAGCTGGTGGGTTCCTCCAAACAACTCTGTGTGAGAGGCCCTGCTAGCTGGCCAGACAGACCGTCCACGCACTCCATCCTCACCCTCACCTCTGCCAGACAGATGCCAGAGTACCGCTAACAGCGGCTTATCTGGCTGAGCACACCCTTCACGCCAGAATTCTCCAAGCAGGAGCCACTGTCCTGTCTGTAGAATCACAGGTAAGCCCTGCCCACCGGACTCTGTGGTTCCTGAGTCAAAGCTTTACAAATCCAGACAGTCCCGGGGGAGCATGAGCTGTCCCACAGGAAACCCTCCTAGAGGCCCCAACCCTGCCACTGTGGTCGTCATCATCTTCATCTGTTCTGCATGGAGCTGTCACCATACAGAATCGGGACGCTTACAGCTTGCTTCTACCACCCAGCGAGTTCTTAACAAACTCCTGTTTTTGTTTCTTTTTTTTTTTTTTTTGCCTGTGTTTTACAAAACTGTGTCAGTCCATTAGATGTCCCTACTGAATGCAAAGTGCACTGGGAACTGCCAGTTACGGCCACCCTTTCCAAAGGATTGTCAATGTCCAGACATGGGGCGCCAAAGCCTCACGCCATGCCAAGGTTGCTGGAGCGGGCAAATGGGAAGGTGGGGGCCTCACCTATGCGCCCCAGCCCAATGATGCCGACCGTGCTCTGCGAGAGTCCGTAGCCACACATCCACAGCGGCTTCCACGACGTCCAGCCACCACTGTGAGGAGGGGAGGTGGGGTAAGAGGGCCCTGCCTGGGGCAAAGATGAGGCCTCCCTGCGAACTCACAGACCCAGAACCCCCAGGGGTAGAAGAGCCTGCTCTCCAGGTCCAAGGACACACACGAGTCACACTCATAGCACTCAGTGCTTTGGATAAGCAGCAGGAACGACTCTCTTTAAAGCCACCAGGGATGGGGCGCCTGGGGGGCTCAGTCGGTTAAGCATCCGACTTGGGATTTCAGCTCAGGTCACGATCTCATGGTTCGTGAGATTGAGCCCTGCGTCAGGCTCTGCGCTGACAGGGTGGAGCCCGCTTGGGATTTTCTCTCTCCCCCTCTCTCTCACTGCCCCTCCCCTGCTCGTGCTCTCTCTCTCAAAATAAGTAAGTAAACTTAAAAAAAAAAAATGAATGTTTACACCAAGTGAGAAAAATAAGAATCATAAACAGCCTTCTGTTGTTTCTAGTCTGGTTTTGCTACCAAAAGACTTACGAAACAACCTTCAGCTTCAGAGCTTTTGGGATTCCAGCATCACGAGCAAGGAGGGTGGCCCTGTCCCTCTAAGGGTTCAAGACGACGCACACCTGCTCCTTCTTGTGTGAAGCCTCTGATCCACACTTCTGGCCCGGCTCCCTGCCGACCAGGCAAAACGGATCCGTCCCTCCCTTGTCCTTCCCGCTCACGATTTCCCTTCCGTGCCACGATTCCCCCACATTTCTCTTCAGCCCCTCCCTGTACTTCAGGATGTGGGCTGAGTCCGTCCCCCCTCAGTAGACGGGACACAGCTGGGGGCAGGGATCGCATCCGCACCAGGGTGACACTGGGTGCTCAGGAACAGCTCCTGGGCAGAGCCAGCTTTCCCGTCGGGGGCTCACTCACCTCCTCACTTCCTCCATGGCTTCTGGCAGGCGGCGGCAGGTGGTGAGAAGCAGGGAGATGGCGAGCTCTGCCGTGGCGTCTGTCAGGACATCTGGGGTGTAGCCCACACGGATGCCGCTATGAAGCAAAGATCCGGTGGCAACACAGGCCTCAGGCACCTTTGTCAATGTCTACCTCTGGGACATCGACAAGCTGCTGCCCCCCCCCCCCCCCCCCCCCCCCCCCCCCCCCGTCTGTGCTGCCCGCCGCAAGCTCTGAGCTGTAAATGAGCCCTCGGGAATGGTCAGCCCTCCTTCCGCATATCTCCCACTTGGGGAAGGACACAAAGATGGAAGATCAGGGCCCAGAGTCCAGGGCAAGTAACTACTTGACCTTCCCAAATCTCCTTATCTAAAGAAGGAAAGAAGAATACTAGCCTCTTCTACTTCAAGGGGTTGTTGTGAGGGTCACAAACCATACTGAGTGAGAAAGGGTGCAACCTGCCGTTTGTGACCATTTGGGCTTATTGTAACTGACCTGTGCCCCCGTGGACAGATTTTATCATCAGCCACCTCACGTCCCCCCCGAAGGATGGAGGGATGCGAGCAAATAAACATTCTGCTCCCCTTCCGGCTCTGGGGGTCAGCCCTCACCCTGGACCCTTCCACATGTGCAAGCTGCATTTACCGCTTCTTGATTTCATCCAAAGCCAAGTGGTCAACGCCCACGGACATTGTGCTGATGACTTTGAGATTGGCTCCTGTCGTGCAGAAAAAGCATTATTTGTCTCTTTCCTCATGGGATTCAAAGCCACAACACTGGAGATATCAGGGAGCCATCTGCTTATTATTATTTTCTTAGAGTAAGAGGAAAGGCTGACATGGCTATTCCTTATTAAAATTCTGAACAATCTGGGTTGGCTCAGTTGGTTAAGCGTCCGACTTCGGCTCAGGTCAGATCTCACGGTTCGTGGGTTTGGGCCCTGCATCAGGCTCTGTGCTGACAGCTCGGAGTCTGGAGCCTGTTTCGGATTCTGTGTCTCCCTCTCTGCCCCTCCCCCACTCATGCTCTGTCTCTCAAAAATAAATAAACTATAAAAAAGTTTTAATTCTGAACAATCTTATTCAACTGATTTGACAATCCTCCTTGACTCCTCAGTGCACAGACTCTGTGGCTCAGGGATGTGAAGTGGCCTGTCCCAGTCACAAGCTGCCAAGTGGCAGAGCTGGGGTTTACCTAGGGGCCTCTGACACTAAGGCCTCTACTCTTACCCACTGGACTGTTCCCCTAGTGAAGCCTCCAGGCTCCACTGACCACACCTGGGCCCTGCTGTGGACACCTCTGAGATGTCCACTGAGAAGTGTGTGTGTGTGACCCCCTCACCCCCTCTCCACAGGGCAGGGCACCAGAAAGCTCCAGGGCCAAGGCTGGGGCATGGACTGGCTCGGCATTGACTCGTGGGGGCCTCTTCCCATCCGACAGCCTCTGAGTCTGCACCTTTCCTCAAAACTACTGTAGAGGGTGACATTTACCCTGGCCCAGGGCTGAGGCCTATGGCTGGGGTTAACACATCCTGGGTCCCTGCTGGAGCTTGGCACTGAAGACGGGCCCTCCCACAGCACACAAACGAGCCCAGGAGGGACAGGGCCTTTCTCGAGATCATAAGGCAAGGCTGTGGCAGGGCTGGAGGAGGGCGCGGAGTCCCAGCCAGGAGAGCAGCAATGCCTGTGCTGGAGGGAGCTGCACACAACGGCTCCCTCTGGCCTGGTACAGCAGCGAATGCCTTCAGAACTCGGGCCGCTTCAGACATGTGGGAAGCCAGCGGCCGCAGACAGAGGTGCCCTGCAGGGCCAGCACACTCATGGAATCCTCCCCAGAGTGCACACACCTGCGGTGTCCAGGAGCCTCTTGTCCACGTGGTCGGTGAGGAGGCAGAGCAGGCCGTGGGCCCCGGCCACCCCTCGCTCCAGCTCCTTGTCGGGGATCGGCTCATCCGAGTCCCAGTGCTCCACCTCGCAGCTGAAGCCCGAAGAAAGGCCGCTCAGAAGCAGGGGAGTCCCCAGGGGCCCCCAGGCTCCCAGAGGCCTCCCAGGGCTGTGGCTCCCTTTCCAAGTGGAAAACACTGCCTTCTGCTCGCTCTGGCCTCAGGCCGCCTGGGGCTGGCTAAGGAGAGTCAGGGTCAGGCGCGGGGCCGCCTCCAAACTGTCCTCAGAGGGTGGCTGAGGGTAAAGGGTTGTTGAGCTCTGTCACCCTCACAGGAGGCCTCTTGGCCAGTGGGGGGACATGGGGGTGGCGTGGGCCATTCCCGCCCCACATGAGGCTTGAACGTCCTGTCCTGGGAATCCATGCCACGGAGAAGCCTCCTACTGGGACCCTGCCAGGAAGGACAAGAGCAAAGCGGTGCGGCGCGGAGGAGTTTCCCGCACACCCCCACGGCGCCCGTGGGCAGCGGCCGTGTTCCCAGCGGTGCTGCCCAGCCTCCCAGTCCTTGCCATTTAATTCGGTGCGGCTATCGTGTACACCGCGGCAAGACACCGGACGGCTGATGGCACCTCCCGGGACACCCTGCTGCAGCACCTGGCCGGCCAAGCCCCTGGCACAGGCCACCTCTCACCCTCCTCTCCATGGGCACGACACGGGTGCTAAGCTGTGCGGGCTCCGGCCGTTACCACCGTTGTTGCTTCCGCCTTCCCCCTTCCCGCTCGGTGCTGGGTCCCTGAAGGCCCGCAGCAAAGGTTTCGGTGTACTGAACGAAAGAAATCTCCTTTTCGAATGGCACTGGGTCCCACCTTCTCTGCCTGACATTGACAGTGCACACCTGTACGACGCAGTGTTCACACTGCAGTCAGACAGAGCTGAGTGCAAACCCCGGCTCCCCCCACCCCAGGGCCCTGCGACTCTGGGTGAGGCCCTTAACCTCTCCCAGTTTTCTTATCTGTAAAACGGGAATTACAGTACCAACTCCACAGTGTTGCAAGGATTAAGAGTTCATGGACAGGAAACACCTGAAAAACTGGCATGCAATCTTCAATTTAAGGGTCAGGAAAGGCCCCTGTGAACTGTCCAAAGGGACCAGGCCAGTGACTGCCAAGGTCCGTGACCCTGGTAGGGTAAAGGTTTAACAGCCTGGATCTTGCGTCACGGGCGGCCTCCCCTCTCCCCAGGCCTTTCCCTTCACCCACACTGCACATGCCATGGGAGTTGCGGGGCCCAGCGTCACTGCAACAGGCTCGGACAAGGCTAGGCCGCAGAGAACTTTCTTCAAGCCTCCGTAAACTCCACGACCGGCCCGGTCGGGCACAGGTTGGGAAGTCCGGCCAAGGCGCAAGTGCACGGTCCCAGCTCCCTCTGGCCCCTGGCCGGTCCGGGGCCTCCCCACCAAAAGCAAGTGGGGCGACAGGAGACCGCCCCAAGCCCGCCCGGGCGCGCCTGGAGGCGCTGAGTCACCCAGGGTGCGGGGCACTGGGCTTGGGGGTCCCAGGCTCCGGAGCCCCTTCCCCGCCACCTCCCCCAGCCCCGGCCCGGCCCGGGGACTCGGCACGCCGCGGGGACGCGGGGTTCTTACTCTGCGGCGCGGGCGAGCGCGGCCCAGCCCTCGGGGGGGATCCTGCGGGTGACGAACACCTTCATGAGTCTCACTGGCTTCATCCACCTTGCAGCCGCGCGACTCTGACCCGGACCGCGGGACGGAAGCGGGACGCGACGTGAGATGGGGCGGGGCCTCGGAGGGGCGGGGCTGGGACTGGGCGGGCGGGGGAGGGAGGAACAGAGGGGTGGGGGGGAGAGGGGGGAGGTGGGGGAGACGGCAGGGCGGGGTGGGGGAGGGGAGCCGGTGGGCCTCCAGTGGCGACTGTGCGTGTTAAGGGAGTGGCGATGACGGTGTGACTTTATGGGGTGTAACTGTGGGCCCCCTGAGCGTGAGCCTTGTGAAGCTGTGTGTGCGTGATCAAGCCCTGGTGGAACTGGGACTTGTTCTGGTGAACCTTAGCCCTTGGCCCCCAGGGCCTCTCTCTCTGAGCACTCACTGCCGCAAAGGCCCAGGGACTGGCAGGTGTGTCTGGAGTTGGAGTTGGGGTGGAAAGGGGCATTCCGGGGAGAGTCCTGTGTGAGTGTGTGTGGATGCCTGTCAGGAAGACTATGGCTGTCGGAGTGTGTCTGTCCGGAAAGGGGAGATGCAGTCAGGGACCATCCTAATTCCCAGAGCCTGACTGTCCTTGCTAGATCTGTTCCTTTATGGTCACACTGTTCCAGGCAGAGGCCTTTGGTCTCTGATCCAGGCCTGTGTCTTCTATACTCAGGAGGCTGGGCCAGGGCAGTGTGAATCCAGGCATGGCCTCTTTAATACCTGGTGCATTTCCCCATAGGAAATCCACAGTTGTGAGGGGGAGTTTACTGGTTATGGGCCACCTGGCATGCTGGACAACTGCTGACTGGCAAGTTGAGTCCTCTTGGTCAGCCTCAGTTTCTTCAGCTACAAAATGGGGTAATGATCACTTACCTTTGAGGGTTACTGTGGCCATCAAACAGCTCCATTTCCATGGCCCCTGGGCTGTATTAGGTGTCTGTCATGCACTGAGGCTGCGGAGGGAGAGGCGAGGAGCTCAGGCCCTGAAGCCAGTGTGCCCGGGCTTAAATCCCAGCTCTGCCACCCACTAGCCACAAGTCACTAAACTTCTGTGTGCCCCAGCTTCCTCATCTGTGAAATGGGGTTATTAGTCATGCTACATCACGGCTTGCTGAAGAGATGATCTATGTAGAGTGCCACATGTTACCACAGCATGTCACACACATAGCGGGTGCTGACAAATAGTAACACATCCAAGGAAACCTACACGCTGGTGCCCTGAGGTAGTTAGTTGGCCAGAAATGTAGGCGCAGAAACCAGACTTGGGACAAGTGGAGGGGGGCGCCAGGCCTAGGAGCACTCTGAGGACAAAAGCCTTGTCTGGCAGTCTCTTCCCTGCCAGTTTTATCTGAATCCCTTTCTGCCCCCTCAGGGCCCGGATAGGAAACAGAGACAGGCACAGAGAGGTAAGGTGTCCAGTTTGGGCTCACACAGCAAATCACTGGAGAGGCTAGAGCTGGCCCCCTGAGTCACTTGGATCCCTGGCCATGTCCCTAAGTAACACATTAATAAATGCCTTACCCCAGAGACCATTATCTGCACTGCTAGGCCACCCCAGGGACAGCTTCTAAAATACTTTAAACATTGACACAAAGGTGTTTTTCTGTCCCCAGGCCAGGGGACACAGCGTGTTAATCAATGATGACACCTGAGTCCAGCTCCTCCTACACACCAGGACAGGCGAGGACACTGCTTGTCCACCAGGGGCAGGAGATGGCATGACAATTTAATGGGTCCCCTCCTCCAAGCGAGAGCACTGGGCTGGCACTCAGTAAGTGCTAGTGGGTGGCGGGTGTGAGCTGGAACATGGAGCTAGCTGCCGGTCCGTGAGGAGGGAACTGGTGAAGTGGCAGAGAGAGAAAGGATCTGGGCTGGAGAGGGGTTCACTGGGTAAAATTAATGATGTAGTAAGTAGCTAATATTGATGGAGCTCTTATTAAGTTCCAGGCACTGGACATGGTAGCTCACTAATTTAAACCTCACAACACCCTGTGAGACAGACTGTTATTCTCCCCACTTCACAGATGAGGAAGCTGAGGGCAAGCACAGTGAAATCATTGGCTTAATGTCAGACAGCTACTAGGAGGCAGAGCTTGGATTCAAGACCCAGCACCCCAACTCCAGACCCAGGCTCTTACCCACTGTGCCAGCCCGGTGGGAGTAGGGAGAGTCTCTGAATCTGTTAGGCCTGCTACAACACGATGCCATATACTGGGTGGCCTAGACAGCATTTATTTAATACAGTTCTACAGGCTGGCAGCCCAAGGTCAAGGCACAGGCAGATTTACTGTCAGGTGAGGGCTTCTTAATTCATAGATGGCTGTCTTCTTGCTGTGTCCTCACACTGTAGAAGAGGCAGTGGAGTTCTCTGGGGTCTTTCTTAAAAGGGCACTAATCCCATTCATGAGGGCTCCACTCAGATGTCCCAATCTTCCCAGAGGCATCACCTCCTAATACCATCACATCGTCACATAGAGCATGAGGATTTCAAAATATGAATTGGGGTCAAGCGACACAAACATTCAATCTCTAACAGAAGATAAAGGGGCGAGTGGAGAGCTACATATAAGGTACTGGCTTGGGGGACTCTTGGAGACAGCTGTCACTTTGATGGATCTCCACGAGGAGGTGCGAGGGTTGGGGAGGGGAGAGGTAGCTAAATTCGGGAGATGCTCCCTTCGAAGAGCCTAGCAGGGAGGTGGAGTCTAAAGGTCAGGGAGAAGTGGGGGCTGGAGCCATAGTTCCAGAGTCATCAGCATGGCATTGGGAGCCTAGGGGACACCGGGGCAACAGAGAGGCAGGGACACAGTTCTGGCAGGGAGACTAAGGTTTAGAGCACACCAAAGTTCAAAATGATAGTAAGAAAAGGAGTTTTTGTAGGGCTTTTATGATTTCACTTTGACATTTAAATCTTGAAATTTTTAGAGGGTACCGGGTGGCTCAGTCGGTTAAGCGTCCAATTTCGGCTCAGGTCATGATATCCCGGTTCGTGGGTTCAAACCTTGTGGCTGGGCTCTGAGCTGCCTGGGATTCTGGGTCTCCCTCTTTCTCTGCCCCTCCCCTGCTTGCGTGTGTCTCTCTCTCAAAAATAAACATTAAAAAAAAATCTTGAATCCATTTGGAACATATTGGAATATTTGCATATGGTTTGAGGAGAGCATCTGAATGCTCTCAGATGGTTAACCAGTTACTCAAATACTATTTTTAAATGAATGTTTTGTTTAATTTTAGAGTAGATTACAAATGCACAAGATGCAAATTCCCAAAGGTACACAAGGGCATAAGGTGGAGCTGTCTCTCCTCTCCCAGGAAGCAGTCACACCTTCCCTGAAGTGTTTAATGCCTACGAGAACACGCGTACACTCTCACAGAAATGGTAGCACGTGCGTACACTTTGCATCACCTGGTTTTTCACCGAACGGCGGAGCTTGGTGATCGTTCTGCATCAGCACACATTGATGCCTCATTCTTTTTATTGACGCAGAGTATTACACTGCAGGTGTGAACCATAAACAATGAACAATCCCCTATTAAAGGACAGTGAGGTTGTTTCCCACCTTTCGCTATCACAATGCCACAAGGCACAACCTTTGGCAGATGTCATTTTGTGCATGTGTAAATACGGCTGTAGGATAAATTCCTAGAAGCAAAACTGTTGGGTCAGAAAATATATGCACTATAAGTTTTGACAGATTCTAATAAAATGCTTTTCACAGTTGTTCAAAATAACCTCCTACCACCAATGTATAAAAGCACCTATTTCTCCAGGGTGTTATTTTTTAAAATGATACTTTCTAATACATTTCCTTTTCTATAAACTATGTATTTGTATCCTTTGCCTATGCAGATAAGTAGGGGGCATCTTTGTCTTAGTGATTCACAGGCACTATACATCCAATAAGGAAATTAGCCCTCTTTCTGTAATACGAGTTGCAAATATGGCCTTTCTCCCAGTTTGTGTTAGTCTTATGATTTTGTTAATTATTTTTATTATTTTTGTTATTGTTAAATTTATTTATTTTGAAAGAGAGAGAGAGACTGAGAGAGAGCGCAGGGGAGAGGCAATGAAAGAGGGAGAAGAGAAAGAATCCCAAGCAGGCTTTGCACTGTCAGCACAGAGACTGATGCAGGGGTTGATCTTACAAAACGTGAGATCATGACCTGAGCAGAGATCAAGAGCTCGACACTTAACTGACTGAGCCACCTGGGTGCCCCTAATTTTATTGATTACTTTTAATGCAGAATTTTTTTATTCCTATGGTTTCTTTTTTTAAAAAATTTTTAATGTTCTATTTATTTCTGAGAGAGAGAGAGGCAGCATGAGCAGGGGAGGGTCAGAGAGAGAGGGAGACGCAGAATCCGAAACAGTCTCCAGGCTCTGAGCTGTCAGCACAGAGCCCAACGTGGGGCTCGAACTCACGAACCACAGGATCATGACCTGAGCCAAAGTTGGACGCTTAACCGACTGAGCCATCCAGGCACCCCTATTCCTAAGGCTTCTACATTTTGTCACACACAGTGTATCGGGTATCTATTGCTGCCTAACAAATTATTTCCAAACAGTGAGTGGCTTAAAGCAACAGCAATCACTATATTATCATCGCTTATGGTTCTGGACATTGGCTGGGCTCAGCTAGAATTTCTTATTTCAGGCTCTTTCATGTAGTCAGATGGTGGTTGGTTTGAAGTCACTCATATATGTCTGCTCATCAATGCTGGCTGTCAGCTGGCTCTCAGCGAGGCTGCTGGGCTTATCGTCTACACAGGATGTCTGCATGTGGCCTGGACTTCCTCCCAGCCTGGAGCCTGGGCTCCAAGCCCGGGCCATTCCATGAAATAGAAAGTGAAAGCTCTCAGCCTCTTAAGATCTGAGCCTGGAGATGCTGCATCACTTCTGCCATATTCTATTGGTCATGCAGTCAGAGTCTTTGCATATTGGGTTTAGGGTTTTGTTTGTTTTACTGTATCTCATGGTTTCTAGGTCTGATATCTTTATGATTTACTTTTTTACTGAAATTTTGATCCATATTTATTTTCAGATAGCTAGCAAGTTGTTCAACAATTTT